ACAAGAAAATCAAGACACAACATAGTTGCAAGTTAAATGTTTTAATGCCAAATTGCAAACCCAACACTCTAGTTAGGGAATGTTTCTTGATCATTCATTAGTAGGTATCTCACATTGTCCATAACTCCTTAAGTACACAGGTTCAGCACTATTCCTAGAAAAAAAAGTAAAATGTAAGACATATTGAAAGTATGATAATGGGTATTTGAAATCTATAGCTACTTTTAAAAAAAGTGCACTATTCATTTTGTGACATAGTCCTGCAATAGACCACATTCATCTTTCCTATAACATTTTTCCTCTATATAACAAAAAATTATTATGCTAGACCACTTTTACAAGAGGAACTCATTAGAGGGAGCTGGGACTCTTTCAGAGCCCTTCCACACAGCCCTTTATCCTAGAATATCATGGCAGAAAATCACACGTTATCTGAGAGTGGATTCAGATAACCCAGTTCAAAGCAGATATTGTGGGATTTTCTGCCTTGATATTCTGGGATATAGTGCTGTGTGGAAGGGCCCTCACACAACACAAAGAAGGCACTGTGATTTCACTTAAACTGCATGGCTGCATCCCATGGAAACCTCAGGTTTATGCTTTGGTCAGAGGCACTACAGCCCTCAGATGGAGAATTCGAAATATTTCTCCCTAAACTGCAGGTACCAGGATCCCAAAGGACAATTAAGTGTAATCTTAGTGCTATAAACTCCTGGATTTAACTAGCACAAGACAGAATGGAAATTGAAACTGTTCATAACATGTGGTCCTCCAGATACTGTCAGACTGCAATTTCCATCAGCCCTAGCCAGCACAACCAGTAGTATGTAATGATGGAAGTTGTAGTTCAACAGTATGTGAAGGCTGGACAATTGCAGTTTCTTATTTAAATTGGTGTGAGGTGCCCTTAGGACATAATCGCTCAGGGTTTCACAGGTTTGAAGCTCCCTAGCCAAGAATAGAAATGCTTACCATTGCACAACATCATTGTAAATTCACACCAAACTCGTGCTAGTTAAATTCAGGAGTTTACAATAGTTTAGGGCCTTTTCACACTACATTGTTCTAATCTAAAGTGTAAACTGTCCTGTAATATCCTGGATCCTCTTTTAAAATTGGGGGTCTCCCATTTTTAGGCATCTGGGGCTCCTGAGTTTATATAATCCAGATTATCAAAGCAGATAATTTATATTATCTGTTTTGAACTAGATAAACGAGTCTACACTGCTGTATAATCCAGTTCAAAGCAGATAATCTGGATTTTATATGGCACTATAGAAGGGGTCTGAGAGTGCTTTGCATTGGTGTTCTTAGAGTTTTCAGGAGGCATGGTAATCAAAAACTGCTTCTGCAGTGAGTTTGGGGACAGTGACATGTGATTGTGGGTATCACACTTTGATCTACTTGACTTCCTGATGGCCAAAGTGCAAGCCAGTTCACTTCTGACAAGCAGACTTAGTGGATCTTTGGCTTCAAAGCCATAACTTCCCTTTTGCTCAGTTCTCTTCCATAAAACAAAACAAAAAAAAATCAAGGAACTTCACAGCTTTGCTGTTAATTCCAGGTACAGATAGGGATTTCCATTAATGACCATTAATGATTAAGCATTTCTTTACTAATTACAACCCTTTCTTTGTTGTTTTGCAAAGGTTCCTGCAGTTTGCAAGCCAGCTCGTGCAAATCTCTTTCAGCCTATGCACATTTGCCAATCAAACAAAAGTACTTCCCTCTTGTAGAATATATAAAATAGAAAAATGCTTGTAATTGCAAAATACAGATTTACTTTTTAAATTAATTGTACAAATCAGCTCATGCATACCTCCAGCTTAAGCATGGTTTGGCAATTAAAAGTACAACTCCTGCTTGCAGAATACACAAAACAGAGAAAGGCTAGTAATTTCAAAATGCATTTTTTTACTTTTTTATTACGATATTTGATGTATTTATAGGAACATCACATTTCAATTTGTTAGAAAAGGTAGAAGTAATAAATTGTGAAGCCTCCAATCTCATGAGATTTTGAACTCATGGTATTGTGCAATTCTTTTGGGAAAAAGAAGAGATAAATTCTAGCTGCTGCAATAACCTAAAAGCGCATTCTGGTTTTTTCAAGTGCTTGAAGAATGAATAAATAGCTATCCTAGTATCCTCCAACTCAAAGCAAGATGGGTTTGCAATACTAGGACCTGTTTTTAGAGTATTGTGTGATAATGTCCTTAATACATTTTCACTCTAGTTATATCTGAGTATTCTATGACATTCATGAGGTCACCATAAATCACCACAAACTCTTTATCCAGACCAGAGAATTCCACTTTTCCCCCTTAAAAATGGAGCAACATGCTTCTAGAAGGTGTGTGTTAATCCAATTAATTGTTTATTTGGCACTTGTACTTTAAAAGGGAAAGCCAGTGTGGTGAAGTGGAGGCTCCTTCTTTGGAGGCTTTTAAGCAGAGGTCTCTTCTAACTCAAGTGGTTTTTGTGTTGGACTATGAATCTGGGCAGCAGGGTTCAAATCATTGCTCAGCCATGGAAACCCACTGGATTACCTTGACCAAGTCACACTCTCTCACTTATTGCGATCCCATGAAGTAGAAGTAGTTTTGCTAGTTTCTTTCTCTTAAATATAGCCTGGACTGCTTTGTATTCAATGGTGGTCTGAGTACTGGTCAAGACTAACCCCACTCAGCTTCCAAGATCAGATTAACTCTGATGTCTTTAGTGTATTTAGCCCCCATTTTATCCTCTCAGGTCACTCATTCTGTTCCAGAGAGAGTCAAAGGTAAATTTCCTTTGCAATGAAAACCCCATGATCAGTTAACCTCAAGATCACTATTAAGTCAAAAACAACTTGAAGGCATACAATAGCAACAAATGTTAAAAGGATTCAAGTATCATTTGTTTGTAACCGATAGCAACTGGAATATTACTTTTACAAATATAATTGAGCATTGCCCCTGGACTCCCAACAGCCCCCCTTCCAATTTGCACATAGTCTATATTTTTATGAAACACCATAAGTAAGGAAATAATTTTGTATAGTCCAGTTGGTGGCCTGTTTGTGAGATCATATCTATATAATTTTAAACTGATGAAACTGCATCAGTCTATTGATTCTACTTGGATTCCTGTTCTGGATATTTATCAACCTAATGACTCATTCCTTATCCTTTCAAAATATATCAGTGTATAAGCAGATAGAGGAAATGCCCATAGAAACGGAATTCAGCTTTCCTTTGTATCACATTGCTATTACTTGTTACTTAGAACAATTAAGCATCACTATATACTTACAGGGCTTTAACGCAGAAGTCACATTGGTTGGCATATGTCTGGCCATCAGAACCACAGTGAGGTTGATAGTTCAAAGGGCACATTTTGGTTTCTGCTGAAAATCCCTCACAGAAATCCTACAAACAGAACCAGAACCAGTATTTCTGTTAAATTAAGTTTCAGCCCCCAGTCACAAAATAAGCAGTGAGATATTTGTGTGTGTGTTTGGAATTTTTTCCACATATTCATGCCTTTCACTATAGCAGTGTTCATCCCATTTTTAGCCACTGCTTATGTGCATGTGCTTTCAGGCTGCCTGTCAATTTATTGTGGTCCCATGAATCTCATAGGGTGTTATTAGGCAAAAGGTAGTTTTGCCAGTTTCTTCCTTTGCAAGCACCATGTGGTATTCGTTGGCAGTCTCCCACACAAAGTCAGCTGGGGAAAGGAGGGTAAAAGTGGGCGGGGGGGGACGACTCCATTGCCCTGGCTGACATCACTCCAACTGAGAAGTGACATACACTAGCCATATTGAGCTCATTGACTGCTACAATGACAAGAATGGAAGGGGGATGGTAAGCATGGGTTTGGTGCTGCTAGATAGTCTGGCTCCTTTGACTTTTGCAGTGGTGGGAAGTGGGTCAAAACCATCCTGAGACCAATCTGGGATTTGACCATCCAGGTTGGTCCCACAATACAGTGCTGTGTACAGGTGCCCCTATGTCTCGGGCAACCAGGGTTTGGATCCCTCCTTGGCTGTAGTAAGTCACTTGGTGAACTTGGGAAAGTCACATACTCAACTCTAAGGGAGGCAAAAGAAATTCTTCGGTGGACAAATCCTGCTAAGTAAATCAATAATAGTTTCACCTTAGAATAACCATAAGATGGAAGTGATGGGAAGGCATTCAGCATGACAGATGGATGTTTAAATAGTTTATTGAAAATTAAACCATTAACTCAATTCACAGCACATGCACACCATGTTGATGTTCTAGACTGAAATTTTCGCCGTTCCCACTACTGCGTATTGTTGGCTAAGGATGATGGGAGCTATAATCCAATACACATGAAAGGCCAGAAGAAGATTTGGGGGGAGTTAAATTGGCACATTCTAAATCCTATTGTCAAAATGTTCATATTGCTGGATCAACAATTTACTTACCTTAAGACACTTTCCATTATGTTTCTTCCCAACTGTTCTCCCAAACTCCCTGGGGGGGAGGAGAGAGAGGGAGTTTGGGTCAGTCAAACTGTGAGTAGTATTTTTTTCTTCTGGACAGGCAAGAGCCCAGCAAAGGCAGGTCCACTGTCTATAGACTTGTGCCATTTTCATTAGTATAGACCGATTATCTCTTATTTGGAATTCTGAATCCAAAATACGTCAATATCATCCACAGGAGTGGTTGAGCTGCTGACATATTTGCTTTTTGCACACAAATTTTGTTTCATGCACAAAATAATTAACATTTTCTGTATAGAATGACGTTCAGGCTACGCGTATAAGATATATATTAAACATAAATTAATGTTGTGTTTGGACTTGGGACCCATCTCCAAGATATTTCATTACATACATATATGCAAATACAGGAATTCCAAAATTGGGGTGGGGGGGATTAAATACAGGTCCCAAGCATTTCAGATAAATTATCCTTGACCTGAACATATTTACTATTCCAAATTTTGTAGTTCTTTCATGCAACTACATGAAAGAACTACAGTATTCTTATCGTTAAAATAAAAATAAAAAGGTAGATAGATCTAATCCTTTATTGTCTAGTATGTAGGCCTTTGTCCAAGAGGATCTGGATAAAGGATTATTATTTGCACAACACTGAAAGTTCATTGGATCTGATAATCACCATTCCTCACAATGTCTGTGAGGGATGTCACATGTCTACGTGAATAAAATGCAGCTGTTACCCAGGAACATCTGAGTAAATAGTTGACAATTGGAAAAGCACAAATAAAATAAATGTCACAAAATATCATTACAAAAACAAAAACAACCACTATTCTCACCCAGTAAAGTGTTCTGCATCTATATCAACATATCAATATTACTTACAGAGTTTCACGACAAAGCAGACAGTCATTGTTATAAGTTTTGTCATCTGTTCCACAAACTGGTTTCAACATCCTTGGACAGGGGACCTTATTGCTGTTCCCACGATGGAAATTGTTACAATCCAGCTACAAAAAATGTGTGTGGCATTGAGGACAGGGAATGCATCTATTCAGTAATCCCAGATTTTAATATTTTAATGATTCCCCTTTTGAATATATCCCTTCCCTTTCACAGGTCCTAAGGCTTTCACGTTCTTTTTTTCTCACACAAGAGAGAGTACACAAGAAGTCATATTAGGGCAACTTGCAACTTCATAGAACAATGTTTTCCCCCGGGGGACAGGTTTATTAGCTGTGCCATAGTACTATTTTGGAGAAGGAAGCACACAGTGTTACCCTAGTTAGAGAGTTAACACATTTAAAATATTGTGTACCTTCAAGACACTTCTGGTTCTGAGTTATGGTAACTCTAAGACGAACCTGTCATGCAGTGTTCTTGGCAAGATGTGTTCAGAAGGAGTTTTCTTAAGGCTGAGAGAATGTGGCTTGTCTAAGGGCACCAAGTGTCCAAGTGGGTTTCGATGGCCAAGCAGAGTCTCCACCCAATGATTAAATACATTGTTCAGAATCCAGAGGATACAAAAGTTAAAAGAGGTGGTTTAACCAGGTCATTCTCCACATTAGTGAGCACAGGCTTGCGCTGGCAAGGCATGGGGGCTCTAAGACTGTTTTTGTTATTCTTAACATGTTCAAACACCCCCCCCCAAGAGTAGCAATTAATCATTTACATTAGTGACAGTCACCCCTATGCCCACCTCCATTATTCAATGTCTTTGTAAAGCTAAGCGGAATCTGGCCTGATTAGTTGGATGAGAGACCACAAATGAATACCAGGTGCCATAGACTATATTTCAGAGGAAGGACCTGGCAAAATCACCTCTGAGTATCACTTGCTGAAGAAAATCCTATGAAATTCAACAAGAAACATACACATATACAAAAGTGGACTTCCAGTTATTTTGGAGATGGCATTTTTGATAATGTGCACATCCTCTAAAGCAGGGATCCTCAAACTTTTTTAAACAGAGAGCCAGTTCACAGTCCCACAAACTGTTGGAGGGCCGGATTATAATTTGAAAAAACATGAATGAATTCCTATGCATACTGCACATATCTTATTTGTAGTGCAAAAAACCCACTTAAAAATAAGACAATTAAAATGAAGAACAATTTTAACAAATATAAACTTATTAGTATTTCAATGGGAAGTGTGGGCCTACGTTTGGCTGATGAGATAGTGTTGTTGTTGTTGTTGTGTGCTTTCAAGTTATTTCAGACTTAGGTTAGCCCTGAATGAGGGCCGAGTAAATGACCTTGGAGGGCCGTATGCAGCCCCCGGGCCTTAGTTTGAGGACCCCTGCTCTAAAGGTTCTTGGAGGCAAAAAAAAAAGGGCTCCACTTGTCCATCCCTGCTTTACAATGTCAAAAGATCAATATTCCATATGCTTTTGAATTTTAATAATATTAATGTTCATTTTAGTATAGGAACGCAGGTCACAGTAGTCATGGATTTGTCACAGGTCATCTCTTATTCTTTCCACACATATTATCATCTTCAATTCTACTCTAACTGGGAAGGATGCTGTGGTTCACTAGAGACAGTCTCTGGTCATGTCCCCCAAATTGTTTGATCATTTTCCTTTGTTGGAGGTAGACTGCACATCATGGTTTAGCCTGCACCTCCTGAACTATCCAGATGCCTTGGGGCCACAATACCATTGCCAGCATTAAGAAAGACCCAATAGCCAGTGTTCATGTCATTGAGAATTTTCTTGCAGGCAGGAGAGGTTAGAATTGCTTACCTGAGTATAAAATATATCTCAGATATATTTGCTCATGCAATAAACAAAAATGCAGATTTATTTTTATTACATTTAATGTGTAATATTTGGAGAGATAACCAATGCTCTTTTTAGGATCATGAGTGTTAATTTA